GCTTTATACAGGACGGAAATGAATATTTACAAATTAAATGAGCTCGACTCTTCAGTCCGCTCAAACGCAATCGGAGGGTTCCGGCTGAAATGATTGTTCTTTCAGAAACATCTACATAAAAGCCGAGAAGTAAAATTGTCGGCAACCAGCTCCATTTCGACTGGACTGCCATAAAAGTCCAAGTCTGTAAACACTTTAAACACTGGAGCATGAAGATGGTGCTTCTGTACAATGACAAAACGGCTGTCGACGTACCTGATTGCAAGATGATGAAAATTTGGTTGGGTCAGAACTTCTTGATAGGTACTGCTCCACGATCTCTCGATAAGCGTCACGGCCAAGTTCGAAAGTGTTGGAGAAATCTGACTTCCCATTCCAGCGCCCCTGATTTGGCGCCATACAACACCAAGTGCTGTGTCCGCTGTACACGTGGGTCGACCTCCACTAGAGGGAAGGCTGAAAACGGTCTCAAGGGAGGAGGAGCAGGAACTCTGGGAGGAAGAACATGCGCTCTGGGAGGAATGTTTCCAACATACGGGTCCCAAAGACCATATGAATGTGCCATTGACCTGGTGGAGGACGGAGAGCTTGAGAGAAAGAAGAAAGAGCCGTTCTAACTGACCTACCTCTTTCAGATCTCGAAGTGGACCTCAGAGAATGGTGATCACGATGATGGTGACGGTGATGGGATGCTCGATGACGACGTCTTGTTCTGGATCTGGAGAAACTTGATGTTGTGCGTCTTTCCTGTTTGTCATCATCTGTTCCAACCGGCACCTGAGGTTGGACTGCTGACGGTCGACGAGGTACGGAGATCGTTCCTGGAATTGCGGCTGGGGCTACTACCGGAGTTGCTGGAGGAGCATGTGGTGTCAATGCCAGTCTTACTGCTGGCTTCGCCGGTGCCTTGGGTGGCCGAGGTGGAGTCGGGTCCACGTTGCCGGCCACAAAATAAACATTATACACCGGAGTCGACATGGCGCAGAAATCTAGAGAAAGGAAAATGGAAAATGTGTTGTCTAATATGACAACTTGCTAACTGTACAAGGATTGATCAGTTAGACAACTAACAAATGATAACGTATTGTTGCTTGCTCAACTGTACACCAAAAAGCATTCATGTGTACAAACACAATTCATCCATTTGGAATTCAATGCTGAGGCTTCAAGTGTGGAATTCAGAAAATTCATCTTATTGGTGACTATCAGTCGCCAAAATTGTCAAAAGCCAAATTCAAGTTCAAACTCAGTGGATTCAAGCTATTTTTGCCGGATAGCATACCGGGATCTATTCTCTCAAATGCACGCTTTGTGTCAGAGACACACGTTCAATCATTGCAATGAGCCACCGTGGCTGAATTCAAGAGTCAAATTCACTTGTGGATTCTCGCACTCCCAGGGGAGATACGACGCCTGGAATTCCAGGATCACGACCGGACTTTGACAGATCCCACGGCCGAAATACACACTTGCGAAGTCATGAAAGACGGTCTCTTTTCATGAATGCAAAGTCTGATTACCTCATGGTAGATTGAAGGCATCACTCGGCCATACCGAGTTAAAAAAGGCCAAGCTTACCCGTTGACATTTGAATGTCAGGTTGTTTAAAAGAGAAACCAATACGGCTCAATCAAAAGTGATCATGAAATGACTGAATGACGGCATGCAGGTTCTTGGGTTAGCCTGATCCCATAAAGTACTAACAGATACGAATATGACCACCAGCTATGACCCCAACATATTGGGTATGTCATCCAGGTGCATCATGCAGGTACGTTTTCACAACCTAAGGTGAGCGTCTTCATTGGCACAAGACTCACCAAAGGTCCTTGTGCCCCCTGCTGTGAATTAAGGTGCAATGGTATCCATAATTTATGGAAGAAAGCAGTTAAAAAAACTAGTTGGTTGAAATCAGCCGCAAAAAGTGAGGAACTCTTCGGTACAGAGCTTGACACACACACACACTCACACACACAAGCCCTTTGCACTCACGAGCAGTGCGTTCAAGACCGAGGAGGTCTAGTGACAGTCGCAGCTGTTTTCGCCCCACGATAGGACCCGTTGAGTGAACTGCCATATCCCCTTGACGCCGGGGTGGCTCCCGATATCCTCACTGGCCTTTGGGGTGGGCTCCCATCGTTACAAAACTGGCCCAACATCAGACAATTTTTGCGTTTGGATTTGGACGTATTTACATTCACTTCCTCCAGATCATTGCGGGTTGGGCACCCATTGACTGTCCCAACATACTTGCAACAGCTCACAATTGGATTGGTATTTCTGATAAGGTTCTCTGAACTTTCCTTGCCTTGCCTGCTGGACAACGTTGCCCTTGCAAGTGCATAGGACGATGCCTTCAATCATCTACCTTTGCTGCCTTTCTCAGTTTGCCACAGCTTGTATTGGAACCTGCCCATTGAGAGCAACCCGGTCCCAATTCCGGGCGTGTGCACAGAGATGACGACACCACATCCATGTTTTAGACAGACCCATCTCACGGATTTCTTTCAGGATGGAAGTGTGCACGAGGGTGAGGGTTGTAACCGCACCACAACGGTTACTGGAGCAGATGCATGGATTACACATTTTTGTGCAGATCCTGCGAACAGTGGACAACCGCCTCCAAGGTGCCACGGCACATGTCCTTCCCCCCAGCCATATACAGGAGTACAGAAAAGAAGCTATAAACGCGCATGCAAAAGAGCATTGACTTTTGGGTGCACCAGATATCGTGGTCGAGAGGTTTCACTCAGGGATTTTCCCTCGAATTTGATTGCAAGGGTACAACAGGAACAGAGCCGACAACGTCGACCAGCTCCTCATCCATCTCCAACTCCTGTACGCCACTCCAGAATGACCTTGCTACATTGGAACCCTGGCGGTATGGCCCAGAGCACGTTCCAAGAGTTCAAGCACTGGCTCACTTTCAATCCGACAGATGCCGTTGTGATAACGGAGACCAGGTGGAGCTTCTCTTCCTGTTGGCAAGATCAGAGATGGTCATATATACACTCGGCAGCTTTGGAATCCCGTACGGGGGGCATATTAATCATGATTGCGCGCCACATCTGTCATCCCGACAACATTGGCTACGACGAACAACGGCCTGGACGCCTAGTTCATGTCCGTATGCACTTTGATCGGAGAGCAGTGAACCTTTTGGCACTGTACCAGTATGTTGACAACCGCAATCAACAATCAACACAAGCGAGCGCAGGAATCTGGCAGGCGCTCAATGAAAGTTTATACAGAATGCCCAGCCGTAACAGCCTCATCCTTGCAGGAGATTTTAACTGCTCCCTTCCACGAGCAGCTCCATGGATTGGTACAAATGCCTTCAAGTGGAATGGACGTCGCAGACAGGGACGCTTACATGCTGATCATGACCAACTGCTGACCATAATCAGACAGCATGCATTGGTTGATCTCACATCGTGGGACGAATCCCAAGGACCGACTTACATCCACGGAGACACTGCATCTAAGATAGATCACGTGTTCATGCGGTTGACCCAATGTGATGGTATTGCAAAACAGACACAATTCCTTCCCAATGCAGACATCATCCCTAATAACCAAACCCACCATGTCCCTGTCAGTTGTTCAATCAAGACTCGAATGATGCCATATCAAGTTCAACAACTTACCCCAACCTGTACGTACACACAAAGATCCAAATGCCGCCAAGCCAGCTTGCAGGAATCCGACACATGGATATCCCTGCAAAATGCGGTGACAAATGCAGTCAGGCAGATCGCAATTGCTGAGACACCGGATGCCGCAATTTGTAATCTCCATGACATGGTTGCACCAATTTTCCAAACCCTTTTCCCGAAGGCCAAGCATTCGAACACCTCGGACAGTGGGCCCGTGCATGTTTTAATGGAAATTAATGGCAACACAGAAACTGCATACGCACCATAGCCTCCAATGTACAGATGCCTCTCATCACTCGATGCATCCAGGCATGGTTTCACTGGAGCCGCTGTTGCAGCCTGCAACGACAACAGCAGCGGCAGGCCAGGCAGATCAAAGCTGCCAAGTTCCGAGAATTATGCACAGAGGTAGACAAAGCAGCCAGGGCCCATGATGCCCATTTGATGTTTCAAATCATCAACAGGTATGCACCCAAGAAGCCCTTGACCAGAGCCCGGCTGCGCACAGCAGAAGGACAAATCGCAAATCAACATGTTGCACATGCCATCACCGTCCAGTATGTTCGTGACACCTGGAAAGGACCATCGAAACTGCCTGAATTCACAGTCAGTGCACCGGGCCTGCCTTTCACCCGTGCGGAACTAGTGGATGCCATCACAGCGGAACATCCAAACAAATCAGTTGCGCAGCCATTCTTGCCAGCGCTGATATGGAAGGGTTCAGCAGAAGAGATAGCCCAACACCTATACCCTGTCCTTGAAAGTTGGTGGCAACAATATCCCCCAATCATCCCCCAAAATTGGAAAGATTCATGGATTTATTTCCTACCCAAACCGGGTAAGCCCAACACCAGCCCGGCACATCTAAGACCAATGTCTCTCATGGAGCCATTGGGAAAAATTGCAATAGGCCTACTCACCGCTCAACTCCGACACCATGTGTTTCCTAAGCTGAGCCGTTTCCCACATTTTGGTTTTCTACCCTTTCGATCAGCTGCTGATGCAATCTGCCGAGTCAGTAGACACCATAGCTTAGTGAGAAGCCTTGTCGGATCCCAGAGACGCACAGTAGGCCAACGGATTGCAGGGACACCCAAACTGAAGATCTGTGGAGGCATTTCATTATTTCTTGACATGACACGTGCATTTGACAGTGTCGACAGACCAACTTTATTCACGCATCTTTCCACTCAAGAAATACCTGAATCCCTCCTTGTTCTCTTATCTAAGTGGCATGAAAATACCCACTATAAACTACAATTCCAGGGTGCAACCACCACCATCAAAGTGGGTCGTGGCCTACGCCAAGGCTGTAAAGCCGCCCCGTTACTGTGGTTGGAGTATATGGACCTGTTTCTGGACAGACTCATCACCCACACTGGTCATGACTGGGTAGCCCAATGCGTCACACTCTACGCAGACGATATACATGTAGGCTGCAGCTTTGAATCAGAAGGAGCCCTCCGAACGGCAGTCACCAACATGGGACACCTTCTGGACATTTTGGAGGACCTGTGCATGACGATCTCCTGCGAAAAGTCTTTTCTCTTGCTGACAGTTGCTGGGACAAACCCACGCTTGTACATGAAACCATACATCAGACGTGGATCACATGGCACAACATTTGAGATCCCTCGAAGTACCGGCCAAACAACCTCAATACCGATGAAATCTTCTGGAAGGTACCTAGGAGCTATCATGAGCTATCGCATGATGGAGGAATTGACATGGAAACATCGCTGCAAATCAGCCTGGCTGGCGTTCAACCGACTGAAGAAATGGCTCCAGAGCCGTCAGCTTTCTGTCCGATATAAAATGCATCTGTGGCAAAGCTGCGTGCACACGATCCTCACCTATGGGATCTTGGATATGAACAGCACAGTCAAGACGTTGCATCAATATCAGCAGACAGTATACACAATGATTCGGATGGTGATAGGTGACCACTCATACAGGACACATCACACCCACCAGCAGGCTTTTCAGGCACACCACATTGAACTCCCGCTGCCGATGTTGGGACGGTTAGCCATGAACATGCTACGACGCCTGAACAGGCGGGAAGACACCATTGCATCCGATGACATTGTCCTCACGATCCCATGGACACATTTGACCGAAACTCTTCGACTCATTGATGCCATTCACGACACCAGTGCGCAGGTACCCATAGCGGTGGACCAACATCAGCCAGTCTCCACTCAGGCTCAACAATGTCCATGTTGCCCTTTTGTCACGGACTCGATCCCCAACCTACGTAGACATCTGACGGTGGCCCATGCCAAGTATCAACATAGAACAACAGCAATTTTCCCCTTGGATTTTGCACTCCATGGCCGTCCTCAATGTAGTCACTGTCATCAAGTGTTTACCACATGGCGATCATTTTCTATCCACATTGAACGCAATTGTTGCCAGGTCACCACCGCCCAGCCACGTCACTGGTGGCCGACCGCAATGGACAGGGTTGACATTGAAGATCGGGAACCGACCCTCGACAGCCCTCCAGCGGACGTCGATCAGTTCCATGGTGCAACACAACGTTTTTGGACACAACTCAAACAATGCATCCAAACACGCAGTTGGACCGACATTGCGGCTCTGCCAGACCTTAGTGAATACCTACAGAATCACTGTATGATTTGTGGTATGTGGCAAAACCGTTTCCAAGAACTACATGGACATCTGCGCCTATATCATCCCACGCTCATTGGTGGTGGCGTTGCCAAAGGCACAGATCACTCACCTGCTGCCAGGTACATCACCTTGTATCCTCTGCGGCCAAGACTTCCGACGGGTCCACAGCTGCCCTGTGGCCTTGCAACTTGAATTTTGTGCAACTTGGATCATGCTGCCTGCATCCAACCATCAGTTGCACGCCGCTGTGAGATTTGTGATTCAGACCAAGACAGTATGGGGAACTTATACAGACACCTCTGCCAGCAACATGGACTCACCATCAACGACTGGTGTCCTGCAAGGGACGCGCATCAGGACAGTGATGGCTGCATGCACTGCGGCGAAATATTTATGTCGCGCTCTGGCTTGCGGCGCCACATCACGGAGGGTCGATGCATGTCCTTCGACCCCCTGACGAGCCCCCAGCCTCTGAATGCAGCTGATCGCTGGTCCTCATTGCATGCTGCTGGACAGTTCACAGCTCCGGTCCTTACAGCAATACACCGCATCAAGTTGACTCTGACATGCCAATTCTGCGGGACGCGATACCAGCGCCAGGGAGACCTTGTGGCTCATCTCCTACAGTCACACCCGGCACTCTGGAACAATTCACAAGAAACATTGAGATTTCTTTTGCAGACGGTCATTGCTCACACTGGATGCCTTTGCAACCCACAGGTACACCAGACAAATCGCACCCACGTGTGCACAGTGGTGCGTCAACTTGCCATGGCCTTTCACCAAAGTGAACTGGAGGTATTGGTACCCACGGTGTACAGTCCTCAGCTCCTGGATGCAATGTTGGTCAATCTTGGCAACACTGAACAAATCCAACGCCTGAGAGTCTTGCTACATGACCGCCAATTCTCAAGCTTGTGGCAGGACCTGGATGTGCTGATTCTACTCAGGACAAGATGTGTGATCTGCGGCGGGTTTTACCATGCCACACAAATGATGTACCACCTGCTCACTATGCACCATGACGCATGCATGTGGGCGGCTCAGATCACCTATCAGCTCAGCATTAGCATGCAATCCGTGCAACCACAGGACTATCAATGCCAGTTCTGCCAGTTGATTTTCAACTTGCCGCATTCCCCAAGTGACTTGATGGAACCCAGAGAACGCTGCTTACGACTGCAAGCACATTTTCACTCAGGGTGCCCAGTCCTGCGTCAGATCGCGCTCGTGCTGTTGCCAATCCATGGACTACGGGGCGTGGGACTCCCACGACCAAGCGCTGATGGACAGCCTGCAAGCGCTGGCACCAATGTTCCTGGGCACACGCAAACAGGAGCTCGCAAACGACGACAGGACAACCAAACGCCACAAGGGGCCCAAACAAGAGGAGCACGGAGATCAACGACAAGTACAGGTGTTGACACAGGTCGTCACGAAGATGGCACAACTGCTCTTGAACCACGAGCGCAGCCTTCAGACCTTGCATCATCAGGACTCCTACGTTATCTTTGCCCGCACCCATCCAATCGGAATGATGCCCATCATGGCCACACTGGCCCAGGAATGGAAGACGAAAGCGCCACAGAACCAGGAGAACCCCCAATGGTTGACGTTACGCAGCCATCTCCTCCGAGGTCTCCTTCAAGAATTGCTGACCAGAGTGGTGCAACTACAAGAGAGCCAGCCAGGACAGCAACTATGGGACACCGCGGTGGCGAAGCAGACCATCTTGCAGGACGGGTCATGGGTTTACATGAAGTGGTCGCCATCGGACCAACAACTCATTCCCACCAAGCGGACACCCATCCCGATGGGTCAAATGGTGAAGCTCCTGAAAGTCCTGATCGCAGCACTCCAGGACAACATGCACGTCCTACGTTTTCAGAGCCTCAGGACGCAACAAGAAGTCACCTTGCGGGACTCCGAACTGTGGGCCACATTCAACGAGCTGACGGGGAACTCAGTGTGGGGCCTCATGGCCATGTCGTTGAAGAGGCACCAACAGGTGTACTCCAAGCCAGCTCAGCAGCTGGCCGACCTCCTGGGCAAGGGCAAAGGACGCGGCAAGGGGAAACAGGTGAAGCAACAGCCATCCACCCCGACAACACCGACGCCAGCAGTGTGACTTTTCAACATCGACATGACCTGAGACAGGTGCTGACAATGCTAGCGCTCCAGAACCCAGGATCACTATGCTACGCCAATAGTGCGACACTGTGCTATTGGTGGTCCTGCCTGTCCAGGGTCAATTTCCAATATCAAGATTGGGGCTCTCAGTCAGCAACCTTTTTGAATTTACTGCAGCGTGACAACAATATCATGATCTCCTTGGATGAATATGAATGGTTCAACCAACTCATTGCTTCCTGGCAAGATCCTGATTCTCAAGCAGATAGTGCAGAATTCACACATCGGTTGCTGACCTGGGTGGGGACACCCATTGTATCAAATCGATGGGAACGCAGAGTTCACACCAGTGAAAGAACAGAGCTACATGATAGCGGCGACACATACATGCCCATCACACTGCAATTGGACATGGACATGATCGCAGACAATGAAGTCAGCTTGGAATCACTGGTGAGGCTGTGGCATGGAGAACTTGGCATGAGTGCGGGCCTTACTGACCCTTCTGATCTAGTTGTGTTGCACATTGACCGACTGTTTCACAACGATACTGGCCGCTTGCAAAAGCTCCATACAGTGATCCGTTTCTGCTGGTTGGTACAGATCCCCATCCTCCAACATGACATGCCAGTGCGTTGGGAACCGTACCAACTAGTAGCTGCCTTTGCACACATTGGAGAAGCCCAAGGTGGCCACTATCAGGCTCTGCTCAAGACTTTCCCGGAGACCACTGACTTGGCAAACCCAACGATGTGGCTATTCTGTGATGATGGAAGGGAACCCCAACCACGTTGGACCATCCCACCGCAGTTTGAGGAGGGAGTCACCTGTTTCTGGCTCTGCAGATGCAATCAAGTTGAACTGCACCGCTTGCCCAGTCAGGTTCCAGTCCGACAGACAACCACAGATGAGGCACTGATTGCCCTGCTGGCAGACCCGCAAACTAGCAGGAATGGCCAGGTCGAGGGTTGAACATCAGATTGATGCACATGGCAACTACGCACCGCAGCTTGTCATCAATCTACATGCACCCAGCTGCCCAAGCTGGCTTATCCCCGGACCCCTTTTCACGCCCTTGGGAAACCCCCGAGAGTTACCCCAGAGATCAGGACCCGAGAAGATGTCCAAAAAAAAAAGAGGGCACTACAGAATGGCCCACACGCTGTTGCTTCATCCCATCTAATATCATCCGTTTCACCTTGACGTTTCACTCCCAACAGGCATTTTGCCATCCGCGCTGCAGCCCACCGCTGCTGACTGCACTGGCCATTTTGGCCCTGATGAGTGGGCACTTTGCCTAAGCCTAGTCGGCGCACACCCAAATATGAGCTTGACCATCAATCCGTTTTGCCAAATGGGCCAGCCCAGGACATCCTGTTGGCCTTTGCACCCAGCTGCCCAAGCTGGCTTATCCCCGGACCCTTTACATGCCCTTGGGAAACCCCCGAGAGTTACCCAAGTTACCAGGACCCGAGAAGATGTCCAAAAAAAAAGGGGGGCCAAGAGGCAAAATGCCCATCAAACACGAAGCCCCCCCCCAAAAAAAAATCGTTGCTTCCCATTCATATGGACCTAGCTTACGTCTCACAATGCCAGTCCAAAGCGGTACTCAGATCTACGAGTAGCCCAGCGACTGTAACCTACACAGACCACGTTTTTGCCGATTGCAGCCTGGTGCCACCAGTTTTTCCGAAAGAGACAGTGCATCTGTCATGCCAACTGGCGCCCAGCCAGTACCGCTGTGACCACTCTTGCTTCAGCATTGGCAGAACCATCTTTTCCCACCGGATGGTCTGCAAGTTCACCGGCGGAGGGGAAAAGCCTCTTCACGTAAGAGCCAGCTTGGTAACAATCCAACGCTGAAGGCGAGCGCGAACTTTCTGCACAGAAAAGAAGCGTAGCAAAAAACACACACACACAAACACACAAACACACAAACACACAAACACACAAACACACAAACACACAAACACACAAACACACAAACACACAAACACACAAACACACAAACACACAAACACACAAACACACAAACACACAAACACACAAACACACAACCACACAACCACACAACCACACAACCACACAACCACACAACCACACAACCACACAACCACACAACCACACAACCACACAACCACACAACCACACAACCACACAACCACACAACCACACAACCACACAACCACACAACCACACAACCACACAACACACAACACACAACACACAACACACAACACACAACACACAACACACAACACACAACACACAACACACAACACACAACACACAACACACAACACACAACACACAACACACAACACACACCACACAACACACACCACACACCACACACCACACACACACACACACACACACACCACACACCACACACACACACAACCACACAACACACAACACACAACACACAACACACAACACACAACACACAACACACAACACACAACACACAACACACAACACACAAACACACACACAACAACACACACACAACACAACACACACACACACACACAACACACACACAACCACACACAACACACACAACACACACAACACACACAACACACACAACACACACAACACACACAACACACACAACACAAACAACACACACAACACACACAACACACACAACACACACAACACACACAACACACACAACACACACAACACACACAACACACACAACACACAACACACACAACACACACAACACACACAACACACACAACACACACAACACACACAACACACACAACACACACAACACACACAACACACACAACACAAACAACACACACAACACACACAACACACACAACACACACAACACACACAACACACACAACACACACAACACACACAACACACACACAACACACACACACAACACACACACAACACACACACACAACACACACACACAACACACACACACAACACACACAACACACACACACTAGACAAGAATGGATCATTATATGATCCGGCAGGAACTGAGTCCTGTGACATGCAGATTAGATTAGTTATTTACTTAGATAGGATGAAATTATATATATATATGGGACTATGGTGACCACCAGCTGCGTCTTATAATTGCGCCCAGGTGCGTCACCACAGTCCCGCGGGTACGTTTACACGGGTCCCCGGGAGGTGTCTTCGTTGGTCACCGACCTCCCAGGGACCCCGGTGACCCCCCGCGTATATATATATATATATGTGTAATAAGTAAAAGAAGTTTTACGTCTATTCAGACGGTACACACACACACCCTGCCTACGGCAGGGTGGTGCGCGTAAAAATGAGATGAAAGTGAGGATGAACGGGGGATGAAAATGAGATGGGAGTGACAATGAGATGAACGTTACTTAACCAGGACGCGAAGAGGGGAACGCAAAAGAAGAGGGAAGGAGCAAACACACACCAACACACCTAGCCCGGAGCGGGCGAACCCTGAAAAGGCAAGGGAAAAGAAAAAGGCGGAGGGTCGACGGACACGGACCAAGACCAGCGGAGGGGGGGGAAGACGGAAGCGCCTGAACCAACCTGCCAAAGCGAAAACCTACAAACACCTAAGCACGCGACGGAACCAACCTACCTGGGGAGGGAGGAGAGCATGAGATAGGGGACCAATGGGGAACTAGTTGGTGAAAACAAAACCGGAAAACAGGATTCAGCTCCTAAACCTACTGTTCGTGCGATTGTGCCACAACAGGCCCGATGTCAGGTCGTGCCCCGATGGCATAAAACAGCTTCCAAGTTCCAACGAATTAGATGCACAATATGTTTCACCTCACCAAAAACCAAAGAGACCACACCTGCAGGAAAAGGACATGCCTGTTGCCTTTTGTCGTGAATGTCATGTTGAACTTCAAATGCGCAAGCTGCAGTGATAAAAGGAAGTTTCTGGTAGTTCGAAGCAGCTTCACTTGAAAGATCAGATCACTGGGATCCCTGGGACAGCCGGAGCAGCAGGAGATCTCAAAATGGCTGACAAACCGTAAGGCCAGCTGTTGCAATTTACTTAAATGAATTACCAAATTAAAATGTGTTAATTCGGAAGTCAGGACAGTCATCACTCACCCTAAAAAGGGTTGCCTCAAATGGCTCCATGGCACCATGTCGGAGCCACCATGGAAATCACACTAGACAAGAATGGATCATTATATGATCCGGCAGGAACTGAGTCCTGTGACATGCAGATTAGATTAGTTATTTACTTAGATAGGATGAAATTATATATATATGGGACTATGGTGACCACCAGCTGCGTCTTATAATTGCGCCCAGGTGCGTCACCACAGTCCCGCGGGTACGTTTACACGGGTCCCCGGGAGGTGTCTTCGTTGGTCACCGACCTCCCAGGGACCCCGGTGACCCCCCGCGTATATATATATATGTAATAAGTAAAAGAAGTTTTACGTCTATTCAGACGGTACACACACAACACACACACACAACACACACAACACACACACAACACACACACACAACACACACACACACCACACACACACACAACACACACACACCACACACACAACACACAACACACACCACACACACACACACACACACAACACACACACAACACACACACAACACACACACAACACAACACAACACACACACAACACCACACACACAACACACACACACACACACACACAACACACAACACAACACACGCACAACACACGCACAACACACACAAAACAAACCACACAAACAAAAACACACAAAACACCACAAAGTCACACACACACAATACACACAAACCACCAACACACACACAAAACAAAAACAAAAAAAACACACACACACACAACACACACACAACACAACACACACAACACACACACAACACACACACACAACACCACACAACCAACACACACACAACAACACACACACCACACACAACACACACAACACACACAACACACACAACAACACAACACACACACACACACAACACATACAACACACACACACACACAACACACACACACACACACACACACACAACACAACACACACACAACACACACACACACACACAACACACACACACACACACACAACACACACAACACACACACACAACACACACACAACACACACACACAACACACACACACACACAACACACACACACCACACACACACACACACACAAGCCCTTTACGCCCAAAGAAGCGCGTTCAAGGTCGAGGAGACCTAGGAGCAGCCGCAGCTGTTTAGCCCCTCGCCGTACTTTCCGCCGGTGCTGATTGACAGTTGGGGTGGGCTCCCGGAACATCTCTGGCCCATTGAATAGCAGTTTCCTGGGATCCATTTTTGCTCTGCCTGCTGGACAACGTTTTTTTTTCCCTTGCATTGCAATTGGATCATGACAATTTTTGGATCTATTACAGCTTTCCTTTTGACCTTGAACGTTTTGATAAATTTTGCAGAACAGGGGCGCGACCCGGTCCCACATCCGGGCACAGCCGAAGGTATCCCATTCCGACAGCAGATGAAACAGACTACTCTGTTGGATTTTACAGGCTTCACCAGTGCTGGCTGTGAGGGTGAGGGTTGCCGTGGGTCCACTACCACGGCTGGAGCAGACCAATGGCAGTCGATCCTACTTGGAACAACTGCGAACAGTGGATACCCGCCACCAATGAGTTCATCACTCCAATGCTCCCCAGCACCTCAGACTTGTGTGCAAAAACGCAGTTATAAACGGGCTTGCCGACGTGCAATTATGCATGGGTTTGCAGATTATCATGGACGACGATTGCAGTTGCAGGACTTCCCATCATCCTTGATTCAGAAGGTACGCGATACAGGACATCACAATCCTCGGGTTCAACCAACATTCACACGAGGGTCACGAGCTCAGCGATACACCACCATGTTTTGGAATGCTGGTGGGCTCTCACAAGCGATGTTTCAAGAGTTGAAGCACTGGCTGAGATCACATCCGGCTGGCATCGTCATCATTGCAGAAACTCGCTGGGGATTTGACTCTCACTGGAGTGACACTGAATGGTCTTACTTACATTCGACCACAGAGACACCACGCAGTGGGGGCCTCCTTGTGATGATAGCCCGCAGTATTGCCACACCAACACAGATAGGCTTTGACAGCATTGTCCCGGGACGACTTCTTCATGTCCGGGTTCATGGCAACAAAAGGGCCTTTGATCTCCTGGCTCTCTACCAGTATACAGACTATCGCACCGAAACTTCTGCGAAACAACGTGCGACAGTTTGGAATGCCCTAGACGACTGCTTGAGAGCCCTGCCACGCAGGAACCATTTTCTCTGTGCAGGAGATTTCAACTGTGATCTACATGCTCAGCCACCATGGGTTGGTGTCACGCAGTTTACCTGGAACCATCGGCCTACACAAGGCTATACTCACAAGGACCAGCACCGACTCCAGGACCTGCTGCGCACACATGGCTTGACTGCGCTCAACACCTGGGATCGTTCAGGAGCCACTTTTGTGCATAGCAAATATGTGTCACGTATCGACTTTTTCCTCATGCGTATTATCAATTGCGATGGACCAGCCAAACATATTCAGTATCTTGATGATGCGGATTTTGTGCCATGCAATCAATCTCACCATATTCCCATGCTTTGCACGATTCGGAAACACCATGTGCCATATCAAACTCATCAACAGCCTGTCCGTTGTAGCTATGCCCAACGGAACCAGTGCAGACTTGCCAGTTTGAAGGAACTCGACTCGTGGCATCAGCTTCGACAAAGTGTCATAGAAGCTGTGACTCCTGCCCTGACCGAGGCGACACCAGAAGAGTATATTGTTGGCTTGCATAATCAGATTTCACCACTGTTTCACACTCTCTTCCCTTCTCACCCCCGACGTTTTCCGCAACCAAATTATGCCTTGTTTCACCATACTACACATGATAAGTGGTTTCATCGATCTCAATTCAAACAGCTTGCACAATCCATGGGTGGCATCACTTTAAGCAAAATTCTGCAGGCTTGGCATCACCGCAGCCGGTATGGGGTCCTGCAACGTGTCCAACAGAAACAGGCCCGTGAAGCCAAACAACAAAGGTTTCAGCAGTTATGTCAAGAGGTCGACGTTGCAGCCAGACACCATGACTCGCATTCCATGTTTCATATCATCAACAAATTCACTCCCAAACGGCCTCAAGCCAGAGCCCGCATCAGAGGTCCTGATGGTAGGATTGCCGATCAGTTTCTTGCGCATTCGATGACAGTAGCAGATGAAGACACAGGTTTCCAGAATTTTTGCAATCATTCTGGACTCGCTGGTGATGGACATAGCGTCTCAAAATTGAGAACCATCTGACCAAGGTTGTCAGATGAAGAGGCGACCGCCGTTTCGAACTCGAAAAGGAGCGAGGAAACACACACACACAAGCCCCTTTGCCGCCACGAGAGCGGCGCCCAAGAGTGATCAACAGCGACACGTCGGGGCTTTTTCGCCTTGTGATCCTTGCTCCGCTGCCATTTCGCCATATCTGATTTCGCTGTGCCGTTTTTTGCATTACTTTGCTGCCATTGAGTTTCAGGGTCCTCATTTTCTGGGATTTTGCTTTGCTTGATTTGCTTTTAATTTTTGCATCTGAGCATTGGCCGGTGTGCGCATGCGAATTGGAGCTTCCCTGCCGAGTGAACTGAGTCACTGCAAGTGGCGAGCCTGGCTTGACTCTACACCAATTTGGGCCTTCATTTGCGCTTGCGATCAACTGCGGAATTTTCTTTTCACATTTCTACTGATTCAATTTTTCTTACACGGATTTTTCACTGCCTTCTGCCGTGGGGCCCTGAGCACGTGGTTTTCTCAGCATACACTGTATATTCCTGTGGCTTTTTGCAGTGGGGCCAATTACAACTTCTTGGTTAATTGTGCAAAACACGGACAACATCTGGCCTTCTGCCGTGGGGATATTCTTGCACAGGCCTACAACAGACTCAAGGCTCTTGTGGCATATTACCGTTGTGCCTCTAGGGGAGGATTTACACTGTCACTGTGCTTGTGGGCTTTCTGCAGTGGGGCCTTGGGAACAATTTTTGGATCTCCCCAGGTGCTGCGATTACACGGAAATTTACTGGCCTTCTGCCGTGGGGCTCATTATTGGTGGACATATCTTACAGCCTTGTCTTGGATCTTTTGCTGCTGTGCTGACCTGGCTCTTCTCTTTCATTTATTGCGCTGGCACGCACTGAAACAATATAGTGATAGACCCTGGACCAGACTGTGGACACAGAGACACCGAGCCTTCTGCGGTGGGGCTACACTGGCACCGAAAGCCTTCTGCGGTGGGGCTACATTTGCACAGATTCATTTTCTAATTATTTACTGGCAGGTTGCAACGACCAGATTGAGTATCCTGCAGCGATATTTGTGCTTTTGGGTGTGGCAACAGTGGATTTTTTGGACCCGTGACAATCTGCTCCACCTTCGACAACAATTGCAATTTGCTACACACGGAACATTGCTGGCCTTCTGCCGTGGGGCTCTTTACAAACTTCTTGGCATTGCATTGATTTATTTCACGATTGCACAGCGTTTCATTTGTTGGCTATTGCACCTGCTGGCTAATTGGGCCCTTGTGCTGCATAAGATCTTCTACTGGCTCTTTGACCTCGGGCCTACTTGGTGGCTTTTTGATCGATTACAGGTGACTCTGCCCTGCAACAGTGTGCTTCCGTCTTGGGACCATACTCCTGGCGGCTCACCCGGTCCCAAGTCCGGGCGTTCCAGACATTGTGGGTTTTGCAATTTTTTCACCATTTGTTTGCTGGCCACTTCTTTGCTACATCAGATGGTCTGGAACGGGGGTGAGGGTTGCATCTCTGAACCATGCGGGGATGCTGAAGCAGATTTGCAGTGGACGCACGGGTTCTACCACCATGCTGCAAAGCTACATGGTACGAAGCCGACGATGTGCTACGGCACACAAGTGTGCCCTGGCGCCTATCCCAAAACAGTCAAACGCGGCTACATCAGAGCAATCAAACGAGCACAGAAACTTGGCTGTACATGGTACAAAGGACGCATGATGCAATTGGATGAGTTTCCACGTGCACTACTGGACAAGATGGACCCGACTGGACTCCCATTGGAATCCAGCACACCATCCAAACCATTGCTCCAGCACATGCATGTGGCCAAACGCCGATTGAAAATTGTCACTTGGAATTCTGGTGGCCTTTCTGCGGCCAGATTTGATGAATTGCGGAATTGGGGCTTACAACAACATGCTGACATCATCTTGGTGCCGGAAACTAGTTGGCAGTACACCAATGAGTGGCAAGACAGTGACTGGTGCTGCATCCACAGTGGTGACTCTGCCTCACGAGGATCCGGGCTTCTTTGCATGATATCCAGAAAGCTCCAGAAAATGCAATCCATCAAATGGCTGGATGTTATACCAGGGAGGATCCTTCATGTGAGACTGGCCTTTGCCTCCAGATGCGTTGACTTCCTAGGCTGCTACCAGTTTGCAATGGGGCATCAACAGCATCGCAAACAAGAGCGTCAGACATGGTGGACCAAACTGGATCACTATATGCAAAGATTACCCCGTCGGAACATGTTGGTATTAGCAGGAGATTTCAACTGCTCTGTGGGTGCTCTCAACTCCCATGTTGGCGCTTCCACCTTTCACTGGCGTGGAGCCCAATGTGCAGGAACCGCCCATTTTGACACTGGAACGTTTGCATCATTGATCAAAAATCATGGGCTGGTTGCTTTGAACTCTTGGGACAGCACCCAAGGACCAACATACATCAAGCAAGATGTTTCATCTAGACTGGATTTTATCTTTGTCAAGAAGCAGACAGCTGATGGGGCTGCACGTACTGCCAAACATCTTTGGAATGCACCTTTTTTATCGGTGCCACTGGATGGACATGCACCTGTTTTTGCTCACATTCCGTTTAATTGGCATCATGCTCAAACCCATGCCTTGGGAAGTGGCATCACTGCACACCAACGACAACAAGGACGAGAAGCCTGGCTGAATGACACCTCTCAGTGGCATACTTTTGTGGACCTATCCACATTGAACCTGACCAACGTCATGACGCAGGTCTCGCCCTATGACACTGCAGTGATGGACCATTTGCATGATTCACTCATACACAGTTTCAAAACATGTTTTCCATCACATGCCATGACCAGTTCTGTGCCAGTTTGGAAACGCGACACGCAGATCATACAAAACAAATGGTTTCACAGAGATTGCATTAGGCGCCTTTGCACTTCAAGTTTGGCCAATGTTCTGAAGGCATGGCTCCATGTCGTGAAATACACAGTCTTGCAGCGTCAATCCAAGATTCATGCTCGAACTGTCCGGCAGGCCAGGCTCAATGAACTGTTGCATGAAGCCTCAATTGCAGCCTCGAAACATGATTCATATCGTTTGTTTAGTATTATCAATAGAGTGCGGGACGTTGTGGGTCCCCAGTTTTTACGTCATTTTTAGCTGTTTTTTTATTATTTTTAATGCATTTATTTTATTTCTTCAAATAAATTCTTACTGATTAAGTATGGTTCTAGATATGACAAAGTTTATTCTAAGTTCATCAAGTTAAGACATAATATGAACATTTTTATTAAAATTATATACTGCGGCACATACCCTAAATCGCATTTGAATTCAAATAATGACGAAACAAAATCTATGCTACATATTGGGGATGCCAAAGCAAAGGAGTGTCAAAGGAAAGGGATCTCAAAGCCAATGGTATGTCACTGCAATGGGATGGCAGAGCAATATAGAGAATGCTAGTCGATAGAATGGAGGCCAGTGCGATAGAAGTGGATATGACTGTGCCTTAGAGAATCAAATATGATATGGTTGCAGGAGTCTTGAAAGGAAGATCACGAAAAGAAAGATGAGCTGAACACCAGCTGCAAGCCACCTGATGAAACAAAGGCCAAGAAAAAGAGGACCAAAGGCTCTCTGGCTCGTTGCATTTGTCGTTCCCAGATGTTCTTTGGCACGATGTCATCGACGCGAGGGATGAAAGGTTGAACATTGGCATAGCGCAGAATGATCTCGTCATATTTCCGCACCATCCCATCTCGCGCCATTGTCCTCTTCATGGAACGCTGGGTATCGGAAAGCATAGGAGGTGGTCCAGAGGCCATTGCTTCGAATAATCTTTTACACAAGTTTATAGAGCGAGCGATATGCAGAACCAGACTGCACATGAGAAAGCACAGTCAGAATCAACAAACAGCATGAGTGGATGCTGGCAGTGTGACAAGCGATCCGGAATTTGTTGCAGCTGAACTACAGATTAGAAGTATCGTGAATATAATTCTATTTATTGGCGTTTTATAGATATTGTTATTTAATTTTTTTGACCTTTTGCAGAATATGGATCGTGATCCTTATTTGGTTGAACATTCAAGTATGATTGCATGCATGATGGCCCAGGGAGCCAACTAGAGACAAATGACTTTTCTAGCAGACAAGATACCCTAGAGAGTTGCCAAGAGACAGATGCACGTGTAACGGACAAGGATGAGGCTGAAGACTCAATGGCTTAAAGAGCCTCCAAGGTACAGACGAGTGTGCAGCAAACATGATAGCCCAGAGAGTTATCTGGAGACAGACAACATTGTAATAGACAAAATAGCCCAGAGAGGCACCTAGAGACAGATGACATTGCTTGAGGCAAGATAGCCCAGAGAGCCATCCAGATTTTTTATCATCTTATTCTTCGTGTTCCCTTTATACCTGTTCTCCTTTTGTTTTCTTGTCAAGGCAATGGGATATCGAAGCAATGGAGGGGATCCCAGTCTGCTTACTATGGGGCAGAGACCAATCAAACAGAATAGGAGACAGGACAGTGTCTCCCTAGATGGGCTATCTTGGTGGCTCTAGGTGGCTCTCTGGGCCATCTTGCCTGCTGCAGCCTCGTATGGTATTCTTATGGGATTTCCAGTGGGTTCTTATGGGATTTCTATGGTATGTCTATGATATTTCTATGGAATTCCTATGAGATGTCTGAGGGAAATCTATGATATTCTTATGGGATTTCTTTGTGGTACCTATACTAATTCTATGTTATATCTATGATATTTTCAGATGATTCCTCCCCTCCCCTAGCTGGGCTATCTTGGTGGCTCTAGGTGGCTCTCTGGGCCATGTTATCTGCTACAGTCTCATATGTTATTCTTATATGATTTCCACTGGGTTCTTATGGGATTTCTATGGTATGTCTACCTTGTTAGTTTATACGCCTGTCCGTTGCGTTTGCAAACACTCTTCAAAGCAAATTATCAGGACGCATCAGGTAAGCATATGAGATATCCACAGAAACAAGAAAAATAGCAAGAAACAAGAACAAGAACAGAACACAAATGTAAGAAGCTCCACGACAAGAAAAAATATATCTGGGTTTGCTCTATAGGCCGTCTTGGGAGAGGTAAAGGGGGGGGTCAGCCCAAAAAATAAAAAAATCGTTTGTTTTCTGTGTGGCTCTTTCTTTCCTGTGAATTAGAAATATAATCAGAGTCAGGTGTTCCTCAAGTCTGCTTGTTAGTGACACTACAGATTCATAAGCATGAATTCCGTAGACGTAACATTTTTCCTAACAAAGATTCATATGTAATCTGTCACGTCGTCTGTCCAGACATGTGGAAACGTGGGAACTGAGAAACGTGGGGACTGAGAAACGTGGGGACTGAGAGCGTCCCTTTCTGTATCAATAGACATTCCCCAAAAGTTGCACGTCGTCGCATGCAGATTAGAAATAGTGCTGGTGCCATTGCCACTCCCATTGAAGAGCTTGCGATTTTGAAACAATACGTTGCCAGTAAATGGGAGGGACCTGCTGTGATTTCACCTCCACAGCCTGGCCCACCAGGCATACCATTTTCTGTATGTGACCTTGAGAGAGCGCTTAGTCGTATTCCTGTTGGCAAAGCTGTTGCCCACCCATTTGCACATGGTCTGACTTGGCGCACGCATGCAACCATTTTGGCACCATACATTTTTGATATCCTTCATCACTGGTGGAACCAATCCCCTCCATACGTTCCATCTATTTGGAGGGATGGATGGCTATTACTCATTGCGAAACCCTTGAAGACCCCTTCACACCCCAAATTTCTCCGGCCCCTTGCCATGACTGAACCTGTAGGCAAATGTGTTCTAGGACTTGTCACTGCTTTGGCCAAAGATCAGACCCATGCTGAATTCATCCGCTGGCCACTTTGGGCCTATTTGGAAGGCCGGCTGAGCTACTCCGGCACTTGCTCACGGTGCATCCACAGACATGTGCGTGGGCCACTCAGATCGCATTTCAACTTCATGAGATCTTTCTGCGGGTGCAACAACAAGACTTCAAATGCAATCTGTGTCAGCAAATTTTCAACTTGCCTGAAGCCAATGATGACTCTTTGCACACAATGCGACAACAGACCCAACTGAGTCATTTTGTCTCAAGTTGCCCGGTGGTGCTCCAGCTTGCAATTTTACTGCAGCCGATCCATGGACGCTTGGATGGACTCCAACGACCAAGCCCTGATGGCGGGCCTGGAGGCCTTAGGACCCCTGCTGCTGGGCCCTCGGAAGCACCCGGAAGGAGAAGACGAAGAGCAGCAACCCAAGCGCCACAAGGCCAAAGCCAAAGAAGACAAAGGTTCCGACGGACACAGCCAGGAGGCGATCATGTCCCTGCTGAAGCTGATGGGCCAGCTGATCCTCAGCCACGAAAGGAGCATCCAACTCAACCAAAGGCAGGATTGCTTCGTTTTGTTTTGCCAAAACAGACCCGAGGGAATCGTCCCTCACCTGACGGCCTTGGCAACCAAGTGGCGGGAGGAGTGGCCTCAACAGAAGGACAACATCAGATGGCCCAACCTCAGGACGTATCTGATGAAGGGAGTGATCACAGAACTGCACCGTCGAGTCCAACAATTGGCCAATTCCAAGCAGGGCGACCAACTGTGGGAGGTGGCACTGAGCAAAGGCACCATCCTTCCGGACGGAGGCTGGGGATTTCAGAAATGGGCACCGGAGTCCAAGCAGCTAGTCAGGGCGGCTCGCAGTCCAATAGCTATGCCCCAAATGCTCCGGAATCTCCAACTTCTGGAGGAACTTCTGCAGAGCAATGCTCACGTGGCCCGGTTCCAGAGTCTCAGGAACAGCAGTCAGGATGCAGTACCATGGATCCTCCAGATCAATCACAGAGAATCAGAAGTTTGGGAAGCCCTAGTGGACCTTTGCCACAACACAGTGTGGTCATTGCTAGGAATGTCGGTCAAACAGCACTCGCAAACCCTCTCGAAACCAGCCATGCTGCTTCAACAAACCCTGGGCAAAGGACAAGCGCATCAGGGGAAGAACCGCGGCCGAGGGAAGGGACCCAAAGCAGCCCAGACGTCATAGATGCGGCTGCGCGACATTGCCTGAGAAATCGAGCTCTCAGCCTAGCCATGGACAATCCGGGGAACACCTGCTATGCAAATAGCGCCTATGTGAGTATGATCTGGGCAACACTGTCCAGGACAGCTTTTCATTTCCGGGACTGGGGAGCACGATCAGCCATCCTCCAACAAACACTTCAGCACGCTGATGGAACTTTGTTTTCTTTGGACAATGAAACTTGGTTTCAACAATTGATAGAGGGGTGGAACGAGGATGGGGAACAGGCTGACAGTGCAGAGTTTGTGCATATGCTCTCAAGCTGGACGGCCATGCAGGCCATTTCCAATTGTTGGGAGCGTCGAGTGCAGACGGACCAAAATCTGGTGCGACATGACGCAGGTGACAAAACGCAGGTGACAAATTCATGCCACTGACGTTGCAAATCGATCCACAATTGGTTGAGCAACATGAAATCGGCCTGTCCACCCTGCTCAGGTCCTGGCACCACGAGCTGGGAATGGTTGCAGGGCTCACGGACCCTGAGGACCTGCTCCTGCTGCACATAGACAGGCTGATCCAATCACCGACAGGCACTCTAAGCAAATGCCAAGCTGGCATCAACTTTGGATGGGATGTTCAGGTTCCAGTCTTGACCGCCCAGGATTGCACCTGCACATGGATGACATTCACAGTCATTGCCTGCATTGCGCACTTAGGCACTGCCCAGAACGGCCACTATCAGACACTTTTGCGCACATTTCCAGAGGTTTCCAACGTGGCAGACCCATCGATGTGGATGCTGTGTGATGATGGCCGGACTCCACACAGAACCTTAACTGTCCCGATTCAGTTTGCACAGGGCATTACTTGCATGTGGCTTTGCAGATCCGACCGTGTTGAGGTCCACAAGCTGGCTCCGGCCGTTCCCTCAAATGAGACATCGGATGCAGACTTGTTGACACTGCTGGCCACGCAGCCGGATCCAGAGCCATAGCCATGGAACCCCCTGCACCCAACTGCCCAGTTGGCTTATCCCCTTACCCTCGTTCAAGCCCTCTGCAACCCAGAGTGTATAGGCAAAAAAAAATACTTTACTTCGTGTGATCCCCACCATGACATTTATACGTTTTGTTACTGGCAAATCTTCTGACATTCTATCTGGCATATCTTCTGGCATTCTATCTGGCATATCTCCTGGCATTCTATCTGGCATATCTTCTGGCATACCTTCTGGCATTCTATCTGGCATATCTCATGGCATTTTATCTGGCATATCTTCTGGCATTCTATCTGGCATATCTTCTGGAACACTTTTTGCCAATCTATGTGGCATATCTTCTGGCATTCGATCTGGCATTCTATCTGGCATATCTTCTGACATTTTATCTGGCACATCTTCTGGCATTCTATCTGGCATATCTTCAGGTATTCTATCTGACATTTTATCTGGCATTCTCTCTGGCATACCTTCTGGCACTCTATCTGGCATATCTTCTGGCATTCTATCTGACATTTTGTCTGGCATTCTCTCTGGCATACCTTCTGGCATTCTATCTGGCATTCTATCTGGCATATCTTCTGGCATATGTTCTGGCATATCTTCTGGCATTCTATCTGGCATATCTTCTGGCATTCTATCTGGCATTCTATCTGGCATATCTTCTGGCATTCTATCTGACATATCTTCTGGCATTCAATCTGGCATTCTATCTGGCATATCTTCTGGCATATCTTCTGTCACATCTTCTGGCATTCTATCTGGCATATGTTCTGGCAAATCTTCTGGCATTCTATCTGGCATATGTTCTGGCAAATCTTCTGTGATTTTATCTGGCATATCTTGTGGCAGTTGGCATACCTTCTGGCATATTATCTGGCAAATTTCTGGCATTCTATCTGCACATTCTTTGTCCCATATCTTCCTACATGAGGTCCGGCAGGGAACACTTGGCGTGGATACTCGCGGTTGAGGTCCGGCAGGGAACACTTGGCGTGGATACTCGCGGTTGTGGTCCGGCAGGGAACACTGGGCGTGGATGGTCGTGGTTGAGGTCCGGCAGGGAACACTGGGCGGGGATGGTCGTGGTTGAGGTCCGGCAGGGAACACTGGGCGGGGATGGTCGTGGTTGAGGTCCGGCAGGGAGCAGGAGGAGAGGAGACGAGGAGAGGAGACGAGGAGAGGAGACGAGGAGAGGAGACGAGGAGAGGAGAAGGAGGAGGAGGAGGAGCAAGCAACTGACATAAAATCTAACAACCCTCACCTGGCAGGTGGGGAAAAAAGGGCCACGAAAAGAAGTCCAAAAAAAATTACTTTACTTCGTGTGATCCCCACCATGACATTTATACATTTTCTTACTGGCTAATCTTCTGGCATTCTATCTGACATATCTTCTGACATTCTATTTGGCATTCTATCTGGCATATCTTCTGGCATATGATCTGGCATATCTTCTGGCATATCTTCTGGCATTTTATCTGGCAAATCTTCTGGCATTCTATCTGGCATATCTTCTGGCATTCTATCTGACATATCTTCTGGCATTCTATCTGGCATATCTTCTGGCATATATTCTGACATATCTTCTGGCATTCTATCTGACATATCTTCTGGCATATATTCTGACATATCTT